TGTTAACATTAATAAAATTTGTTTCAAAAAAAAAGAAAAGAAATGGGGACAAGGATGTTTTATTTTCAGGACAAATTATTGTTTGGAAAGTCAAGATGGGCAGACTGAAGAGAATGAGAAAATAAAGAAAGCTACATGAAAGAGACCAAAATTGGTAACACATCTGAGTTGCAAAATGTAAGAGAGCTTTTTTTGGTTGCAACACACATTCTCTGGAACCCTCAAAGCACATATCAAATTTGTTACAATATAGGCCCAGGAGGCACAATTCCAAGTTATAGCAGGGAGAGAGAAAGAGAGAGAGGGGGAGGGAGGGAGAAGCATTTGTTTGTTTGTTTGTTTGTTTGTTTGTTTATTTCCTGCCTTTATTATTTTTATTAAAAAAATTCAAGGCAATATCCAACACACTATGAGGCAATGACTGGCCCAAATTCACCCAGCTGACTTCCATGAATAAGTGAGACTTGAACTTACGGTCTCTCAGTTTCTAGCCTGGTGCCTTAAACCAAACTAGCTTTTCAGTACATTTCTCTTAAAATGTTGTTAAGAATTAATGACTGGAGCTCAATCTTGCATTTTCAAAGTTTTCCCTTGATATAACATTAATAATAAAAATTTGGGAAGAACTTTCAAAGCTGTCTGGGGGAATAACCAAGTTTTCACATGGCTCCTGTAGCATCAGGCATTATATCTTCAATTCAGGCACACATTAAAAACACTTTTGCTTGCCTTGACCTTTGAGAGCCAATAGAAAGGCTGCCAAATTACAGCCATTCTTATTTTTCATGTTTTATTGCTGCATTTATGGTGTTTTATGAGTTTTTATTATTTTATTCAAATGTATTTTTAATTCTGTGTGCCACCTGCAGATGTACTGCGTGACAGGTGGTATATACATTTTTAAACTAAATGATGAATAAATAATAGGAAGAAGGAAGGAAAGCAACAAAAATGGGACAGAAGAAATAAAGAGGTGGTACTCTCAGTGAGGAAAACAGATGGCTGACAAGGGAGAAAAACAGAAAGGGGGTTCAGATTTTCTTAGATTTGTTCATTAATTATTTGTGCTTAGTGTCTAGTTAGCATGTTGGGTCTTAGCTGTGGGACAAGGATTAATGCTTCCTTTGAAGTATCACCTCAGCTAACATTTCTAGGAGCAAAACCAATGTAGGCTGGTTTCATCTATTCTATTAAGCCTTGCTTTTCTATAATGGGAATGGGAAAGGAATTGCCACAGCAATTGCCACTTTAAACAAGCAGCTGTATAACCATGTTTTGAAGCTGACTTATTTGGAAACTTACCAGAAGTCAGACCATGATTTATGAAACAAGAGGGGAAAAAACTCACTTGGCAAAAATAGAAATATTGGCTTCCAAAGTTCTCTCAGGTTCAAGGGAGAGAGTGAGCCTAGGGCTTTCTTCAGTGGATATCCATCATGATAAATTATAGTACAATGTTACAAACAGGGTCATGGGGTCAGAACGACCTCTATAGCATTCCACAAAGAGGTCCTATAGTATAATACTTAAGGAAACAGAAAGAAAATGTGTGTGTGTGTGTATGCGGTGCTGGGATTCAAAAATTTGTACTACAGGTTCTGTGGGCATGGCTTGGTGGGCGTGGTATGATTTGGAGGGCGTGGCAGGGGAAGGATATTTTAAAATCTCCATTCCCTCCCCACACCACTAACCTGCTTTCCAGTTCCGTTCTCCTGTGCAGGGCAACAAAAGAAGACCCAGCCAATCAGCTGGAATTCAGGAGGCAGAGAATAGCTGGGGGCGGGGCCAGCCAGAGGTGGTATTTGCCGGTTCTCCAAACTACTCAAAATTTCCACTACTGGTTCTCCAGAACTGGTGACAACCTGCTGAATACCACCTCTGTGTGTGTGTGTGTGTGTGTATTGTATATACAGGTGTGGGATTCAAATTTTTTAACAACCTGTGGGCATGGCTTAGTTGGTGGGTGCAGCTTTGTGGTCATGTGACTGGCGTGGCCAACTCAACATCACTCACATTGAGACAAGCATCTCCTCACCTGGCCTCTCATGACTGTGGGGATGCTGCAACAGTCGTAAGTGTGAAAAATGGTCATAAGTCACTTTTTTCAGTGCCATTGTAACTTTGAATGGTCACTCCACACAAGCAAAGTACCAGCAAAGGAGGGGGAAAAAAACTTCAGAGAAGTTCCTGAGACAGGAAGTCTAGTCCTGCTAAGAATGTAATAAGGGTTAATGGAGAGGCAGTTTCTGTAAGCAACACCAGAATGTTTCTTTCCTGCCTTCCTTACAGGATTAGGCCAGTAATTTCTTCTAACAACAGGTTCTCCAAACTGCTTAGAATGTTAACAACTGGTTCTAGCGAATAGGTGCAAACCTGTAGAATCCCACGTGTGTGTGTGTGTGTGTGTGTGTGTGTAGGTTCATGGCTGTCAAAATAATATAACTTGTATCATGATGTTATATGATTTAGCTACATAATTAATATTATTTGAATAATGATTTTATGATGTATGCACTTGCTCCTTTATACCCCACTTCATCTCCACATATGAACACCAATATGAGATTGTGCAAATATAACCTTTAGATGTTGATTTTGCCTAGATTGTTCATTTTTCTTTCCTAATTTAAAAGATTTCTATAGCTGCCCATCTTATACAGTATAACCCTGGACAGCTCACAAGTGGCAATTGAAAAATATAAAATAGAAAACACCCACACAGAAACTCCTGGAGTCTCCATCCACAACATATCCCCACAGTCACAACGACTTTCTGTACTCTAGATTATACTATACAACCCCATACCGCAAAGCTTGTGGAAAAAGCCAGTTCTTCAAGTCTTTTTGGAAATCTCAGAAGCTATGGGAGTGCTGGATTTTAGGGACAGGGTGTTCTGAATTACTGGGAATTGTGTTGCCTTGCTCTCACTAGTCCAACATTTAACAGAAATGTCACAGGGCCTATCCACCCTATCAGACTTAGTGGAACAAGCAAATACCTCAGTGACAGGCAGTCCTATAAATAACCTGTCTCTATGCCATTCAGAACTTTAACAATAACCAAGACCTTGAATTGCACCTGAGAATATACTGCAAGTGAGAGCAACTCATGTGGCAACCTCTTTATGCTGCATCACCTATAAAGTCATGGAATCAATTATTAACCAATTCATTATCCTCCACTTAGAAACAAACAACCTACTCTCTATTAAACAATTTGGTTTCAGGAAAAAAAAACTATCCTGTAATCTGCAACTCTTACACTGCAAAAACATATGGACTACACAACTCGATCAGGGCAAAGCAATACACACAATTTACATAGACTTCTGTAAAGCCTTTGATTCAGTGGTACATGACAAACTACTCCTAAAACAAAATCTTATGGTATCTCTGGACACCTGCATGACTGGATAGAAGCATTCCTGTCAAACAGACAACAAATGGTCAAAGTTGGGAGCATCCTATCAAATTCTGTACCTGTCAAAAGTGGTGTCCCCCAAGGCAGTGTTCTAGGACCAACTCTCTTTATACTCTACATAAATGATCTCTGTAATCATATTAAGAGCAACTGCATTCTCTTCGCTGATGATGTAAAGCTATTCAACACCACAGACAATACTGCTGCCCTTCAAAAAGACCTCAACTATGTATCAGAATGGTCAAACAAATGGCAACTTCAAATCTCAACATATTGGCAGAAAAAAATCAGAAAATAAAATACAAGCTGAATAGTCAAGACCCTGTTAATGATCCAAATTCCTTGAAGTACTCATAAATGATCTAAGTGCTAGAGCCCACTGTAACTACATTGCCAAAAAGGCATTAAGAGTTGTTAACCTAATCCTACGTAGCTTTTTCTCTGGTAACATCACACTACTAACTAGAGCATACAAAACATTTGCTAGACCAATACTTGAATACAGATCATCAGTCTAGAACTTGCATTATGTATTTGATATCAATATAGTTGACAAAGTCCAGAAATATTTCACAAGAAGAGTTCTCCCACTCCTCTATTCGTTGCGGAATACCTTATGTCACCAGACTTGAAATTCTAGACCTAGAAACCTAGAATTGCACTGCCTTCGGTCCAATCTTAAGTATGGTACATACAATTATATATTGCAATGTCCTACCTGTCAATGAATACTTCAGCTTCATCCATAACAATACAAGAGCACACAATAGATACAAACTCAAGTTAAACCACACCAAACTTGATTGAAGGAAATACAACTTCAGCAACAGAGTGGTCAATGTCTGGAATACTCTACCTGACTGTGGTTTCTTCCCCAAACCCCAAAAACTTTAACCTTAGACTGTCTACTATTGACCTCACCCCTTTCCTAAGAGGTCTATAGGGGGCGTGCATAAGTGCACCAAAGTGCCTACTGTCCCTGTCCTATTGTTTCTCTTTTTTTTCTTATATGTATCCATTTCATGTATTCATAACTATGTTTATTCTTACACCTGTTATCTTATAATCGCTTGACAAAATTAAATAAATAAATGGTATGATGTGGATGAACTGTGCAATCTGCTATATTATACTAGAACCAAAAGTAATTTCCAGATGATCTTCAAATGCAGGGTGCATTTATATAGGGTGGATGGCATAGTCTAACTAAGATGTGACTAAGGTATAAGTTACCATGAGCAGGGCATTCCAATCCATGAATGGGTGTGATTAGCACATAAGGTTTATCTATGCAAAGGCTCACCTAGCCTCAGTTTCCACTTGAGCAGGAGCCATGAGTCCAAGAGGAGTCCCAAATCCACAAGGTGTTTCTGGGGAAGTACAACCTTAGCAAAAGTCAAGGAGACAAAAAACACAAAACCATTCTGCTTGCTATGGTTGAGTTGAATCCAATTCTTCCCCATCCAAATACCCTCAGTCTCCAGACACTGGAATTGTGTCATTTGGTCAACCAAAAGTGGATATATACAGCATCGCTATGATACTTCACCCCCTATTGTTGAATAATCTCTCTTAACAGTCGCATGTACATGTTAAGAGAAGGCAGGAAAGTTTGGAGCTCTGATGTATTTCACATTGCAAGGGCCTATGCTACAACTTTTTGTGAAATTTCAAAACTGTTGGGTCAAATCTGCTTTAAAAATACATAAATAAATGTATCTCAAAGGAGTTAATATGACTTTACTATACATTCAATGGCCACTTCTTTATTGTCAATACTTTATACTGCAATAGAAGCAGGGGTGGGATTCTACCAGTTCGCACCTATTCGCTAGAACCAGTTGTTAACATTCTAAGCAGTTCAGATAACCGGTTGTTGGAAGAAATTGCTGGCCTAATCCTGTAAGGAAGGCAGGAAGGAAACATCCTGGTGTTGCTTACAGAAACTGCCTCTCCATTAACCCTTATTACATTCTTGGCTGGACTATACTTCCTGTCTCAGGAACGTCTCTGGAGTGTTTTTCCCCTCCTTTGCTGGTACTTTGCTAGTGTGGATTCAAAGTTACAATGGCACTGAAAAAAGTGACTTATGACCATTTTTCACATTTGTGACTGTTGCAGCATCCCCACAGTCATGAGAGGCCAGGCGAACAGATTTGTGTCTTCATATGAGTGATGTTGAGTTGACCACGTCCAGCCAGTCACATGACCACCAAGCCATGTCCACCTAGTCACATGACCACCAAGCCATGCCCACCACCTAAGCCACTCCCAAAGAATCGGTTGTTAAAAGTTTTGAATCCCAGCCCTGAATAGAAGTATTTCCAAAGTGAACATTTTTGAGGGGGGAAGAGAATTAAAATAAAACCAACATGTTTTACCTAAAGTATGCCAGAATAAATTTACTATAATGATATCTGAGAATCGAAACCTATTATCTAAAATATATTACACACTTATTTTTATATTATCATTTTCTATTCAAACTGTTGAATTGAAAATGACATGTTTAAAGATCAATACTCTATGAAGGAAAATTGCACAAAAATACTTCTTGAAGGACTGTTGTTTTTGTTGCTGTTAACCAAACCAATGCTATTGACATAAACACACTGCCAAGAAATCCTTTATTTCTCTCCAGTAATCTGCTGAGGATTTTTTTTTAAAAAAGTTATACATTCTACTTTTTCATTTAGAGCCAATAGTCATACAATATATCCTGTGATATGGATTATAGTAAAAGATGCACTTCTTTACTTCTTTATTTTCTTACTTCCCACTGATCTATTTATTGTTAGAAAACTATTATGAGCCACATTCAGTACTACAACCCTGCATGTCAGAAGTCAGGTAGCACAAATAACAATTCCTGCATCGATTCATTCCCATGTCCAAATTCTTGCATTATTTTCTCTAATTCTCATTTAAAGGCATAAGCATATTTATTTTAGATGATAGATAGATAAATGATAGATAGATAGATAGATAGATAGATAGATAGATAGATAGATAGATAGATAGATAGATAGATGACAGACAGACACACAGATAGACAGACTTACAGAATTCCAGACAAAATTCACAGAATTCCAGGCAGGCTACAGAAATAAAATCCCAAATAAAAATAATCATTTATTATTATCCTGCAATATACCTCCTTGTTGGTAGAATGTAGGCAACAGGAACTTGGCTTACTAGAGAATTTTTAGATTAGAGATGCTAGCTTGCATCAAATCAATTGACCATACTTCAGAGTAAAATTAGCCTCGGATCTTGTTTGTGCATACTGGCCAAAATAAGTGAAATCTGAATGCTTCTCTCCTTACTGACACCAGAGAATGCTACTGTACATGATGCATTTGGTTAAATCTGGTAATACATTGTAACTCTTTTCTACCCTGCTAAAAAGCATTTTGTGAAACCCATGATGAATGGCTTAACCATGGCATATAAAAGTCTGAGACTTGAAAGATAGGAAGAGTCAAATGTAAATAGCATATATTAACCAATGGAATGAATAATGAAAAATTAACAAACTGTACATTTCTGAAGCTAAAGACTGATCCATAACTTCTTGCTTGCCCCACAACCAGGAGGACATGACATCTACTGTTTCAAGCGGACAGAAGCAGACAATGTATCTTCACCCTGCCCCTTGCCCAGTGTTTCTCAACCTTGGCAACTTTGAGTTTAAGACATGTGGACCTCAACTCTCAGAATTCCCATGCTGGCTGGGAAATTCTGGGAGTTGAGGTCCACATGTTTTAATCTTGTCAAGGGTTGAGAAAGATTGACTTAGCCAGTGAACCAAGCAAGTTGTCTGGCTCTATATTAAAACTTTGCTGAGCCTCTACCAGCATAAGCAGGGAAATCAGACCCCCCTGCTGTGCTTTGAGACACAAAGGTCTCCATCTCAATTAGGTTAAGTTTCTTCTGAATATATGTATGGCCTCCCTGCTCTTATCCCTACTCTCTAGGTACAGTGAATTTCTTAGTGTCTTTTTTAAACAGGAAGAGAAATGTTGAGAAATTTGTTGTTTCTTTTTTCTTTAAATTGAGTGAAATTGAGAGGAAGTCTGCCAAATTTCCCCTTCTAGCCCAGCAACAGGAAGAACTCTCAAAGTATCTCCCACCTTCCTCCATAAGGAAAGAGAATATGGGAACTGTTCAGCTTGGAACAAAACATATGTTACAGATATAACAGAAGGGTAATGCTCTTAAAATATGTGGGGTTACTTCTAATGGAAAAAGAGGCTTGGTGGAATGATGAAGTGAAGGAGAAAAATGAAGTATGTCAGAGAATTATTTCTGCAAAACAAAAAAAAGAAAGACTGATAAATGCATTGGTCCATATAAAGCTGTTCGTTGGACACACCTGATGCTAAATTTGAAAATCCAACTTCTTCATGGAGGAAGATGTAAGCTATATTCCAAAAAAGAACCAATATACTATTTTTCAGAAAGGAGATGCCAGGAAGAGGCAGAGGGTCAACATAGATTGTCATTCTTTAGATTTCTGAATTTGATCATCTTTCAGAGTAGGAGCTTGGGTTAGTCATTTGTAGCAAAAATGAGATGATCTTTTAATGTCAAACAAATTTAGCTTTCAGGTGGTAGAATCCATTTGATTGTTATTAGCATAATTATTAAAATATGTCACACAACTGCCACACCTCTGGGCAGCTCACAAGTATAATCATTTTTTTAAAAATACACAAAAACAGAAATAAAAGAATAAAAGTTGGCAAAGATGAGAAGAACTGGACAGGAACAACAACAAAAAACATTTCCAAGAAGGTTTCATTTAGCCCCACCAAAAGCATGGGTTAAGAACCACGTCTTCAAGCCCCTTTAAAATACCAACAGGGTTGAAACCAGACAGATCATGGATAAGGACCTTCATTTCAAAAGGCAGGTGCTGCTACCGGGTGCTGCTACAGGATAGATGATGTTGTTTTATTAAAGTAACCTGGTATATGCCAATTCTGTCAGACTGAATTGAAAGAAAGGGAGACAGGCAATCCCTCAAGTCACCAGGTCCTATGCCCTTAAAAGTTAGTCATCAGTACATTGCACCCCAAAGCAAATTATCAACAGACAAGCTTGAAAAACAGAGGTGTTACATTGGCATATCAATACACACCATCACTGTTCACACCACTGCATTTTGGACCAGTTGAAGTTTCCAGGTGGTCTTCAAGGGTAACCTCAGGTAGAACATCTCACAGCAATCAAACCATGGAGTGTCCAGGTGATAGTGATCATCTGAAGGAATCAGGATTTAACTGGCATACCAGCTGAAGCTTTGAAAAGGCCTTGCTGGCTACAATTGTCACCTGCACATCCAGCAGGAGTTCAGGAAGACCCCAGACTGTGCCTCATTCTTCAATAGAGAAGAATTCACCTGGGATGTAGTCATTTAAAGTATTGAGTACTGCCTAGGGCAGGAGTGTCAAACTGAAGGCCCGCTGACTGGATCTGGCCTTTAATGTAGTTGGATCCAGCCCATGGGGCCTTCCTGGTCTACCCAGTTCAAAGAAAGATCAGGCCAGCCCCGTCTACCCAGTGTGAAGAGAAAAGATCAGGCAAGTGTGGCATTGGCCCGGTCTACCCAATGCAAAGATGAAACATGCCAGCAGTTTGGGGAGTGGCATCAAGCTGGCCATGCCTACTGAGTCAACCACACCCACTCAGTCAACCACACCCACCCAGTTGACCATGCCCACCTGGCCCCCGAGGTCAACCACAGCCCTGATGCAGCCCTCAATGAAATTGAGTTTGACACCCCTAGCCTAGGGAAAATTTTTACTGTTCTACTATTCCCAATCAGTCTGTGTCCTAGAACATGTTGAAATGAATCTCACATTGATAGTCGCTTCTCAGAAGATATCATAGAGGGTAAAGACAATAGCTATTCAATAACAATCAATGCTCTGATAGGCTATAGTAAAGATATTAAGGCAAAAAGGTGAGGCTATAAGGCAGAAATCATCTCAGTTGTTTAGCCAGATTTTGCAGAATGTCCTCACAGGGAGGCATAGCTGCCCTCTCTCTCTTTCTTCCTTTGAACTTAATGAAATTTCACTAGCACTCCAGTGTAGCTTCCCATTAATTTTAATTGATCTGGCACAGGAGAACTCTCTGATAAATTATACATGACATATAGTACATTTGGACCCAGGAGCAACTATCAGTTTGAATAAACTTCTTCATAATATTGATCAACTATCTGCACCTACTAGCCAGTTCATTCTATCATTATATTGTACGTACCATGAACTAAAAGCACTGTGCACAAACATGCTGTCATATTATGCTAATAAAGCGTGAGTTGGAAGCTGTAATGTGGCTATATCATACTGCAACCTGCCTTGATGTAGGATCATAACATGATTGTTTATGAATGAAAGAGTAAAAATCTCTCTCCCTCTCTCCCTCTCCCTCCCTCCCTCTCTCTCTCTCTCTCTCTCTCTCTCTCTCTCTCACACACACACACACACACACACACACACACAGACACACACACACACACACACACACACACCCTAAGGGTCTACAGCAGCTGTTATCTGCCAGATACAGATAGAAT